CGAATGTTTGACGCTCCACATTAACATATATCAACCTCTTTATATACCAAACGTCCTATTCGTGTTCATTAACCCGAAAATTCACATTGAAAACACTTTGAATATTCTTTCAATTCCTTGGCAGCCAAAAATCCAAATCATTCTCTCCAAGGATCAAAAGCCAAAGAAATCCTTCATTATTCTCATACCAATCCTTGGCTTATTGAGTAAAAACATCAAATCCATAAACACCAAAACACCTGTCTTACAACTCCAATTAAACTTCTAGAAGATTATCAGTTTGAAGATCCGGGAAGGAATTGCTTGAAGAGCTGGAGTACGTGGCGATTCACGGGAGGTAGAAATTATACAAGGCTGGGATTTAGCACGGATCTGCAAAATTCAGGAGGGTCTTGAGTTCATACAGCAAGGAGGTCAGAAAATTGAGAGTGTCAATGATGTCTGGCGTGCTGTAAGTTGGTTTCTACAATAGTGAATCTCTACTGGCTTGTGCCCGAAGTTTTTTCCTAGTTGGGTTTCTCCGTCAACATGTTTATTGTGTTTTTACCGCTTTAATTTATTTACTTGTCAATGGTAATCCAACATAGGTAGATAAAGCACGTGAATTAATCTGGACAAATTATAATTTGTGTGACTTGTTGCATGAATTATTCAAAAAGTTTTTAATTCCGCAAGAACACCTATTCACCCCCCCTCTAGGTGTTAGTTGGGTCGAACGATAGGTTTTTCAAGTGGTATCAGAGCCTAATCTCGAGTCCTGACCCATAGTTGTCTAGATGAGTCAATCACTGTCTGTGCCTCCATTTTTTGACGGAAGTAATTATGCATATTGGAAGGTTAGAATGTGTGCGTTCCTTAAGTCCTTAGATGAGCATGTTTGGATTAGCGTTCAAAATGGTTGAAAACCTCCATCTACTACCGTATCAGGAACAATTAACCTTATTGACATATCACTGTGGACTAAAGATGAATTAGTTGCATGTAATTGGAATAGTAAGGGAATTCATGCATTATTCATGGCTCTATCTCCAGAAGAGTTTAGGAGAGTGTCTATGTGCGAAACTGCTAAAGAGGTTTGGGACATTCTCGAAACTACACATGAGGGAACTAAGATAGTAAAGAACTCAAAATTGCAAATGCTAGCCTCTAGGTTTGAAGAAGTGAGGATGAAAGATGATGAAACCTTTGATGAGTTTTACGCTAAACTAAATGATATAGTTAACTCTAGTTTCAACCTAGGTGAGAGAATTCCCGAGACTAAGATTGTGAGAAAAGTACTTAGATCTCTGCCTGAGAGATTTAGGCCTAAAGTCACTGCTATTGAGGAAAGTAAGGACCTAGATGAAGTTAAGATCGAAGAATTGGTAGGATCCTTGCAAACCTATGAACTCACTATCTCACAACATAAGAAAGGAAAGTCCATAGCCCTAAAATCCATTAAAGAAGATGAATCTTCTGATACTGAGTCACTTAGGGATGAGGAAATCGCATACTTTGTTAAGAAATTTCAAAAAGTCCTCAAGAATAGGAGAAAGCCTCAGGATAAAAAGAGTGGAGCCCCTAGCAGATTCACAAAAGATAAAATTGGGAAAGTTAACAATAAAGGGTCAAGTGAGAAGCCACGTTTGGTTAGATGTCATGAGTGTCAAGGAATATATCACTATAGGAATGAATGTCCTAGCTATAAGAAAAATCAAAGAAAATGGAAAGATAGGGCCTTAGTTGTCTCACTTACTGATAATGAATCTGAGACCAGTGGTAGGCAGGAATCCTCTAGTAGTGATGATGAAGGAAATTATATGGCATTTGTGGCTACTGTTAAGAGTGAATCTGATAAGGAAAGTGACAAGGTTGAGGAAGAACATTCAAACGATAATTCTGGTAATGAGGATGAGGATGAGGATGACATAGACTTACAAGAAGCTTATCAACTGTTGTTTAAGGAGAGTCTTAAAATAAAGAAGGTCAATAAAGCCCTACTTAAAAAGGTTGACGAACTTCAAAGGGAAAAAGAGAAACTGGGTAGTAAGCTTCAGGATTCACTTAAGAGTGGTAGTGAGTTAAAGTGTGTCAATGAGAAATTGGAAGACAAGGTTAAGAGTTTGACCAGTGAATTGGAGAAATCTAATGCTCATCTTCAGACATTCATAAGTGGAACTAATAAATTCGATAACCTGTTGGGAATGAATAAGCCAGTGGGAGATAAGAGAGGTCTAGGATATGTTGAGGGTAATACACATGTTGCTGGACCATCTAAGACTGTCTTTGTGTCTGCCTCTAAGTCTAATGCTGTTAGGAGTCCAAGTAAGGGTAAGAGTGTTCCTAGGGAACAGAGTCATCAATCACGTAGGAACATCAGGACTAGGTACCCACAGACACGTACCTTTGAGCATAAGTTCATTCCCACCTATCACCACTGTGGAGCTCTAGGACACACTAGGTCTAGATGTTATAAGTTAGGCAATGAGCGTAGAAATCAAAACATTCCTAGTTAGGTTAGCTTTCTGTCTAATCAGGTTAGTCATTTGACTGAGATGCTTACTAAGCTAACTAAGAGTACTTTGTCATCTAAAAAGGTTTGGGTCAAAAAGGGTGATCTAGGTAGACTTTCAGGTCAAGAAAACTGTTTTGTTGCTCATGTTGCTTTAAAAGCTCAAAATTCTAATATGTGGTACCTGGATAGTGCATGTTCTAGGCATATGTGTGGTAATAAAGCTCTATTCACTACTCTTGATGAATGCAATGGTGGTATGGTTACCTTTGGAGATGGGGGCTCTGCACCTATTCTTGGCGAAGGTACTCTACAAATGCATGGTTTGCCTGTAATCTCTAATGTGCTTTATGTGGAAGGTTTAAAGTCAAATTTGTTAAGCATTAGTCAGATTTGTGATGACGACTTTGAGGTTAGTTTTGTGCAGAAGAGATGTACCGTGTATGATTCATCCAGTGGGGTAGTCCTTGAAGGGGTTAGAACATCTGACAATTGTTATGGGGTATTACCTAATTCTAACTATGTGTGTAGGAGTGCTAAAATTTATGTGAGTGAGCTCTGGCACAAAAGATTAGGTCATTTGAACTATAAGAGTCTAGAGCAGTTGGCTAAGAAAGAATTGATAGATGAGTTGCCTAAGATAGTTCCTAGTGAAAATGTTGTGTGTGGACCATGTCAACTAGATAAACAACTTAAGGGGAGCCATAAGAAGACTACTAAAATTCTGACTAAAAGACCCCTGGAGTTGGTACACATGGATTTGATGGGACCTTCTAGGACTGAGAGTTTAGGTGGTAAGCGATACATTCTTGTCGTGGTAGACGACTTCTCGAGGTTTACTTGGATAGAATTGCTTAGGGAAAAATCTGATGCTTGTGACCTCATAAAGTCTCTGTGTAAACGGCTTAGCAATAAACTGAATCTCAAAGTGTCTAGGATGCGTAGTGACCATGGAAAAGAGTTTGAGAACTTTAATCTTGAGAGTTTCTGTACGGACGAAGGGATATTGCATGAGTTCTCTTCCCCTATCACTCCGCAACAAAATGGGGTAGTTGAAAGGAAGAATCGTGTCCTTCAAGACATGGCTAGAGCCATGCTTCGCGGCAAGGAATTAGCCCTACACTTTTGGGGAGAAGCTATTAACACTGCATGCCACATCATCAATAGAGTCTACCTTAGACCCAAGACTGATCAGACCCCATATGAAATTCTTAAGGGTAAAAAGCCTACTGTTAAGTATTTTCGAGTATTTGGGAGTAAGTGCTACATTTTGCGGGATAGAGAGAACTTGAGTAAGTTTGAATCAAAGAGTGATGAAGGGATCTTCCTAGGGTACTCTAGGAATAGCCGAGCATTTAGAGTGTATAACTTACGTACCCGTGTGGTGATGGAGTCTATAAATGTTGTGATAGATGATGTTGTGAGTGAGGGGGAGAGTGCTAAAAAATATGATAAAGATGGTGATCTTTTGAGTTCAAGTGATCCTATTGAGCTACCTGTGCCTGAATCATCTCGTAAGAAACCTGAAACATCTGAAAAGGAAACACTTTCACAAAATCTAGATAAAAATCCTAAGGAACCATCGACTAGGGTTAAGTCTAGTCATCCTAAGGATAATATTATTGGGGATCTAGATAAAGGGATGAGACTTCGTAGGAGAGTACTGAACAATCTAGCATACACTAGCTATGTTTCTCAGGTAGAGCCTAAGAAAGTTGAAGAGGCCCTTAGTGATGAGTGTTGGGTGAATGCGATGCATGAGGAGCTAAATCAATTTCCTAGGAATAATGTGTGGATCTTAGTTCCCAGACCTGAAAATTGTAATGTTATTGGTACCAAGTGGATCTTTAAGAACAAGACAGATGACCAAGGTACTATAACTAGGAATAAGGCGAGATTAGTTGCTCAGGGGTATACTCAAGTAGAGGGGATTGATTTTGATGAGACTTTTGCCCCCGTTGCACGACTTGAGTCTATTAGGATTCTGCTTGCTGTTGCATATACTTTAGGGTTCAAGTTGCATCAAATGGACGTTAAGAGTGCCTTCTTGAATGGACTTCTTCAGGAAGAAGTATATGTGGAACAATCTAAGGGATTTGTTGATCCAAAATTTTCCCACTATGTCTACAAACTTCACAAAGCATTCTATGGTATGAAACAAGCTCCTAGAGCTTGGTATGAGAGACTTACATCATATCTGGAAGAACATGGGTTCTCTCGAGGTGGTGCAAATAGGACCTTATTCATTAGACATATAGAAGAAAATTTTACCATTGCTCAGATTTATGTCGATGATATCATTTTTGGGTCTCCTCTTGAGTCTTTAGCGTTTGAGTTTGCTGAGTGTCTGCAAAGAGAGTTCGAGATGAGTATGGTTGGGGAGTTAAGTTATTTCCTTGGACTTCAGGTATGACAGACAGAGGATGGACTATTTGTCTCACAGTCTAAGTATGCTAAGGATCTCGTTAAGCGATTTGGGTTAGATAGTAAGAAGCATACTAGGACACCGATGAGTACTAGCTTAAAGTTAGGTCGTGATCCTTCTCGTAAGAGTGTAGATCGTTCCCTATATTGTAGCATGATAGGTAGTCTTCTCTATCTCACAGCTACTAGGCCTGACATTGCCTTTAGTGTAGGAATGTGTGCTCGCTTTCAGGCAGATCCAAAAGAGTCACACCTAAGCTCTGTTAGACGCATAATCAGGTATATCAATGGTACAGTGGATCTAGGGATATTCTATTCTAGGAATTCCAATCTTGATTTGGCTGGATACTCCGATGTCGATTGGGCCAGAAATGCAGATGATAGGAAAAGTACGACTGGGGGTTGTTTTTACATGGGTAGCAATCTCGTAGCCTGGCTAAGTAAGAAACAAAATTCAATTTCTTTATCCACGGCAGAGGCCGAATACATAGCTGCAGGGAGTTGCTGTACTCAGCTTCTCTGGATGAAACAAATGCTTAGTGATTATGGGATTAGTCAAGGGACAATGACTGTTTTCTGTGATAATACGAGTGCGATAAATATTTCTAAGAATCCCATTCAACACTCTCGAACAAAACATATTGACATACGACATCATTTCATTCGAGAGCTTGTTGAATCACATGTTGTCTCTCTTGACCATGTCTCTACTGATAATCAATTGGCTGATCTACTTACGAAACCACTAGATGGGTTGAGGTTTGAGTCGCTTCGAACGGCTGTTGGTGTTAGCTCGCCTATTTGATCATGGGTTCTTGTATATTCATGCTTGCATCACATTTGCACCTAGTCACTTCGTACTTTGCATGTGACCTATGTATGTGTGATGCATTTTTGTTTGTTTGTTTCATCTTCATTTGTTGTTTTTGTTTATGTGTTTAAATGTATGAAAAAAAAGGGGAGGGATTTTTCATGTGTGTGCCTTTTATGTCTCGATTCTGGCATTTACATTTAGAATCTAACTCTATTATTCATCATATGTACGAGTCTGAGGTTCCATCATTGTTCACGTTGTCTGTGGAGTTTTGAGTATATGACTCGTCATTCATCTTTGCACAGCACACACTGTAGTCCTGTATGTGAGTCTTGACCGCTTGGGTGAGACTTGGGATGGTGATCTTCTACGCTTAGGAGTGTGTGTCCATTTGACTTGATCTGGGACAAGTGTCACCTGATCATATTGTCTTTCCCCACGTTTATTGTATTTTGTCGAACTTTTGACTATCTTCGGGGCCTATTTGACTCGAACTATTAAGCCGGAGGGGTTTTTAACCTGGTGCCCTAAGGTCGTCTGACTTGGGAGTCACCAGCCCAACGTTCGTTACGGGGGTCATCTATGTCGCCTAATGAGGATAGCATTGCACTTAAGTTTGTTTGTTTAAAAAAAAAAACATGAGATCATTCAGTTAGGGGGAGTAAAAGTGTGACAATCGTACTATTTGATTTGGGTCCTCGTGGTATTGGATTTGATTGTCACTAGGTCGACATACACCTTTGTTTGGTTGTTTTCACGTGTCCTTTCTCACTAATTTAAGGTTTTGAGTCTCGCTTGCATGGACTACGTGGCACTCTTCACGGTGTTGGTCTGTATACACTTTACTCCATAGTAATTTGATCTCTGTGTGGACTTACGTTTTGTATATATGCTGATTATTGGGTTTGTGACTTTATGCTTATTGTTGGGCTCGATTGCATATTCGGTTACATACTTGTTTCGTTCCACATTTCAAAATTTTGAAATTCAGGGTTAATTTTGTAATTTTCTAAGAGTTCTGCCATTTTTTAAAAAAATTCAAAATTGTGGTGCTATTTTTGAAATTTGAGTTTTCGCTCAAGGCTCGCGTGCCGTTCGCTCGAGCGAAAATAACAGTGTTGTTTTCGCTCGAGTCTTGCTGTCGTCTCGCTCGAGCGACAGTGTGGGTATTTGAATTCTGATTCTTCATTTCGCGCATTATTTTTTCATTTTTCTCCCTATATTTACATACATTTCTTCTTTTGTGTTGCAATTTCTTCAAATATTCTTGGTAATTGATCGATTCGAAGCACTAACACCCGATTTCAACATCAAAATTCCATCTTGAACATCATTTGAGGTAGTTTTTCTTGTTTTTTCTTCGTTTTTTTTTTGTGTTTTTGCATTTTCTGCATGTTTGTTCGGTTTTGTGAGCATCATTGCTTAATTCTTATGGATTCTGTGCCTCTTGCATCTCTTTGATTCATGGATTGCCATTTCTCGCACTTTTATTCATAGTTTAGCTCGCATTGTGTGATTCTTTGTTGGTTATTTTAAGTGTGTTTCTTGTTTTTTCTTCCATGTTCGTCGACTTCGTTCTTGCATTCCGTAACTCCGATTTGCATGTGGTTTGTTTCATTTTGAAGAGCATGTTGCCTAGATTGTGGAGTTGTGCTTGGTTGCGTGGGTGCGTCTCGTGTGTGCTTGGGAATTTGTGCCGAAGTGACGCATGCCACGTGTTCGATGCAATGCCCTAGCTATTTTCTTGTTTCCTTAGGGTTGTTTGGGTATTTTTCTCATTCCATTTTTGCTTCGTTGTGGCTTTACGCATATTCTTAGTTGGGTTTCGAGTCGTGATGACTTTGCTCTTAGGGTCGATCGCGTTTTTCGATGTATCACTTTTGTGCCTCATTTGTGTACACGGTGTGTCATGACACGTTGCATCGTTTCATGTGCATTTTTCATGTGACTCATTTCTTGCCTCTTTACGTGTGCCAGATGGCCCGTAAGCGATCACGTCCCTCTTCCCAGCCGGCTAGTGGTTCGACCTCTTACAGTCGATCGAGGTTCATTTCTGCTACAGCCCAGGAGGTCTTCCTTCCCAGTTCTCCTTATGCCCCGTTCTCGTGGAGTTTGAGATAATTTTGTCTGACCTTCCCGTAGATATAGCTGCCATTTTAGTGTCTCGGGGTTAGGAGCCTTTGCTTGTTGGTCTATCACCTCCACCCCCTCTCCTAGTTCAGGAATTCTATGCGAATATCCACGTTATTGACGGGTCGTCCTTTAGGGTATTTTTGCGAGGTCATTCTTTTAGGGTTACACCTTCTGCCGTAGCTCAGGCCTTAGGTATACCAGAGATTACCCATCCTATGTACCCCTATATTTTACACAAACCTATGGCCCGTAGCCCATACTTCTTCCTTACCCATGGGACGGGCCCGCTTTCTCTATGCCCTCCTTCGCGGGGACTCGATTGACCTACCCAGCTTTGTTTTCCAGCAGATTCTAGCTTCGTTTCGTACTCCGGGGGGTCGGATCGAGTTACCTTATGCTTGCTTGATTCATAGAGTTGCTTTATTTTTGGGTGCTTCATTCCCCGAGGGTTCGACTCCTCGCATAGGACGTCCGATTGGACAGCAAACTATTCATCAGAGTCGTTCCCATATTCCGTCTTCCTCTTCTTCTACTCAGGCTACAGTGGCGGCTGCAGCTGTTGATGCTTTTGATTGTTCCGAGCCCCTCGATCCTATTTTTGATATACTTACTAGGGGTTCTCGGGTATTCCTTCCATCTCGTCCCACTCCTCCTTTGGCTATTCCGCTCAGCTCCTCCCGTCCTTCGACATCTACTTCTGTTCCTGGGGTGGCTACGTTGTCCGTTGACCCCATGGTGCCGCTTCTGGGTCAGATGTCTACACTGATCGAGCAGCAGGCTCGTATGATAGTTGAGATCACGCAGTTACGTGCTGCTTCGGAGCGTCAGTCAGCCGAGATGTCTACGTTTCGCCGTGCTCTTGCTGTCTGTCAGCGTCAGTTGCGCTGGATTTGAGATCATTTAGAGGAGAGCACGAGTGCTGAGAGTAGTTCTGATTCTTCCAGTGCTGGAGATGCTGCTTTTTAGTTCGTTTTGTTGCTTTAGCTTTTCTTTGGCCCTTTGTGACAAAAAGGGGGAGTAGATTGATTGAGTTGATATGGAGTAGATTGGATAGATATTGGAGCAGATAATTATTTTTTGATAACTGTGATATAAAGTTGATGTATATATATCATTTTATAACTAGATTAAGTTTTTGATGTTTTGGCAATTTTAATGTCTGTTTTTGGTGTTTTAGACATACATTATTATTGCTTCTTAATCTGGTTAATGATATATGATTTATATCTTGTCTATATTTACTGTTTCCATTTCACATGCTTTTTCACGTGGTATTTGAGTTTTGTTTTTCAGGAAATAGATTCAACAAGATATCGCTGATATGATAGAATAGATTGGTAGTTTGGAGTCAATTTGTTTTTTATCCTTGACTGTCAAATGTGTTTTTGTCACAGAATACCAAAGGGGGAGTTTGTTGGAAAATATGTAATTGGCAAATCTGTGACCAAGGACCAAATTGTCAAAATTGTAAAGCCAATGACCAAATTGTTAATGTCCAATAATTCAGGGACTAGAGTTGCAATTAACTAAAGTTTATAGGCTAGGTCTAGGGTTGTGTGGGATGCCTCGAAGATGCAAGCGGCGCTTTGATTTCGCTAGAGTCTCGCCCTGACCTCGCTCGAGCCACAATTGCAGAACCAACTTCGCTGGACTCACGCTGAGCTGTCGCTCGAGCGAAAGGTATGTCACTCGAGGCTCGCCAGTACCTCACTCGAGCGACCGTGTTACCTAGCCAATTCTAATTTTAAACACTCGCGAATGTTTGACGCTTCACATTACCATATATCAACCTCTATATATACCAAACGTCCTATTCGTGTTCATTAACCCGAAAATTCACATTGAAAACACTTTGAATATTCTTTCAATCCTTGGCAACCAAAAATCCAAATCATTCTCTCCAAGGATCAAAAGCCAAAGAAATCCTTCATTGTTCTCATACCAATCCTTGGCTTGTTGAGTAAAAACATCAAATCCATAAACACCAAAACACCTATCTTACAACTCCAATTAAACTTCCAGAAGATCATCAGTTTGAAGATCCGGGAAGGATTTGCTTGAAGAGCTGGAGTGCGTGGCGATTCACGGGAGGTAGAAATTATACAAGGCTGGGATTTAGCACGGATCTGCAAAATCCAGGAGGGTCTTGAGTTCATACAGCAAGGAGGTCAGAAAATTGAGAGCGTCAATGATGTCTGACGTGCTGTAAGTTGGTTTCTACAATAGTGAATCTCTACTGGCTTGTGCCCGGAGTTTTTACCCAGTTGGGTTTCTCCGTCAACATGTTTATTGTGTTTTTACCGCTTTAATTTATTTACTTGTCAATGGTAATCCAACATAGGTAGATAAAGCATGTGAATTAATCTGGACAAATTATAATTTGTGTGACTTGTTGCATGAATTATTCAAAAAGTTTTTAATTCCGCAAGAACACCTATTCACCCCCCCTCTAGGTGTTAGTTGGGTCGAACGATAGGTTTTTCATCATTTACATGGTATTTCATATAGCCAACCCATGTTCGAATCACCATGCAGATGTTTTTATAAAACATTTTATAAATTATTTTTTAGACTTAAAAACTCTTCAAATTCTTAGTTAAAGACCCAACTTAACAAATTTAATGATAATACAAGTCCCCCATTTAGTTTTTCATTAAAAAGAAATGTTACAAGTGGAAGTTCGCTTTTCACTACACCCATCTTCAAATCCTAATTTCCTCTTATTTTCTCTTAAAAAATATATTTTATGTCAATTTAAGCTAAGAGAATAACAAATGTGAGAAGAAGAAAGGCACATTTTGTTCTTTGATATCCAAGAAAATTCAAGATAGATAGAGGTACAAGTGCTTATTTCGTTTTCAAATTTGATTTTTCGATAAATGTTTGAATGAAATGGTACCTCTGGGTACGGTGCTTCGGCACTACAACAATTCGAATGATCATTCTCTGGCTCTACCTGTTATGATAATGCTAGAGTAATTGGATTTTGCCCAAAATTCATCTACGTGCGATGGTATGAATCTATAGTTTGAAATTTTTAATTTGACAACAAAATACACCAATGATATCTATTGAGTTTCAAACTCATGGGTTAATTCCTTTCCTACAGGTTGAATGGATTTTCCTTGGGGTGTGGATGATGGCAAAGGGATGATGTGACATGCCATGGAGAAGCCGGTGATTTAATATCTTTAGTTGATTATGAAATGTTTACATTTTCTTTAAATTAGATTTCTATGGATGTCATGTGTGGATCTATTTTACGAACATTCTTTGCGAATAAATTATATTTGAAAGTAGATATGTGTCATAGGAATAAATTTACAAATCACCGTTTACAAAAAATATGTTGGCGATTTAAAGTTTTGCCGTCTCTTTAAAAAAAATTCATATTCTGCCTTGTCTTTAAAAAATTCATAACTCCTTCATTACTTGGTATTTTTATATAAAACTAGTGACGTTGGATAGCCTCATAAGTTATCTATTGAATGAACTTGGAATCATGTCAATCCAATGTCGGTAGAATTTTATATGTTGCATAAAGTAAACTGCACTAGGTAGCGTAGCCGTTTTTCCAGCTTCTGCCTTGACTTCAAAACTTCATAACTCGACTGTTACTTGTAATTTCTATCCAGTTGGATTTGATAGTCTCATGGATTAGCTCATAATAAATTTGAAATCATGTCGTTTTGAGGTCTGTGGAATTTTATATGTCATTTTAAGTGAACTGCACCAGTTTACATTTCAATCGGTTCGCGGTGAGTTTTGAAAAAATATTTTAATACCTCGTATGACGCCAATGGAATCTAATTTTTGACTATGTCATATTATAAGGAGTTTCTTACTCTATATTAAAATTTGATGTAGTTTGGAGATCGATAGCTATACAAACAAATTTATTTTCATAATTACCGTTTGAGATAAAAACAGAAATATCAATATTACTTTTAAAGTTTTACAAAATTTCCCGTCAATAGTAGTTACATGCATATACGGTATGATGCATACACGGTATGATACAAATGCGGTATGCTGAAAATACGGTATGATACAAATGCAGTATGCTAAAAATATGGTATGTTGCATATACGGTAAGCGTTTATCCAACATGTGAAGTGCATATACAGTATGAATGAATTCGATTTTTTTTTTTTGAAATTGTTTTCTTTTAGTATTAAATTATTAAAAAAATTATACCTTCCGTTAAAAACAAGTTAAACAAATTTAAGGTTAAAGTACAATTAATCTAGTGACGTTTCGATCTATGTGGGTCGGGACGTTACAGTGTGGTATCAGAGCACAAGTTTAGTCGATTTTGTAGACTCGTCGTTTTTTAAGTAATAATATTTTAAGTACAAATAGAAAATTTGAAGATGAGAAAAATGAAATATTTAAGGCACTCATGGTACCTCGCATCCATGAGTCGACCTCATCCTACGACCCAGGTATGTTTAGCTAAGCAAAATTAAAATCTTTCTTATGCAACATGTTATGATTCTATAGTTACGTTTTCCATGTTTCACTACATTTTATATTTTTATTTATGTATACCTTCTATGTAAAGATAAATGTAGTTTGAAAAAAAAATGAGTTATTCAAAAGACATTTATTGGGCTAGAGCTTAAATTTATGGGTCGCAAATGGCAAAGGAAAGTAAAAAATTCAAGGGAAAGGAACCATATTAGTCAATAGGAGATAGATATCCGAACTTACCTAGATGTGTTAGACATTGACAATCACATACAAAACATGTACCAACATTGGCTAAACGTAAAGAATGAGGATTAGTGACTGACAAGCAATAGGTCATTTACTAGAAACTCTTTCATCTTGTGAGAAACAAATCATGAAAATTATATAAGAAAATAAGCAATCTCAAAATTTTAGAATGTGAACCTAATGAACTTGACTTTGAAGTTTTCGCAATGCATGTATCCGTAATTGGGAGACTAAGATCGATGATGTTATCTCCCACATGGAACCCAAAT